TCCCAATATGTTTCAACAGTTAATAGCTACAGCATAGAATACAACAAATGTTAGTTTGTTCAAAATATTAACACTTTTATCATCAAGAAACAAGAAACACAATATTTGAGCTTGGTTTACAAAATGCGCAAGTTAAGGACCAGGGAGCATACTAACTTGTGTCAAAATCAACTAAGATTAGTTATGCTCAAGATTTGATTGAAGAAAATAGGTTTGACAGTTTTGTATGAGTTTGAATACTTTGTTTAACATAACAAATCATAAACTTTTAGCATTAGGTTATTATCTTGTTAAAAACTAAAACTGCCAAATAGTATTGGCTGCAGAAATATATGCACTTTTAGATAATAGTTCTAAACACAGCATTCTTGATTTGAATCGTTAGATCAATATTATCAAACATTATAAATGCTACTTGAACAGAATATCATTCACAGAATATTAACTTGGAGTTTTGGTTTATTCCAAAAAAACATAGTCACACAATGTATGTATACTTACTTTCCTTTACTGTAACCATCTAGAATTGGCATATTGGAATAAAAAGGTGTTCAATAAACGTTTCATATACTTATCATAGACCTGTAGATATTAGTTGGCATATTAAATAGAATATATAATGTCAGGACCTTAAGTATGATTAGTATTCAGTCAAGATTGCAATCAGTGCAACGAAACTACCCCGCGATCTTGGCAGGTTCCTGGAGGACCATCATACTACGTAATATGGACTGAACAATCTTCCACCCTCATCATACTGGAAAAAGTCATACCAAGTAATAACTATCTTCCTTCAGACAAACTGAATATCAGATATAGAAAGTAGATATAGTAATATAGCCCATTCGGCCCCCCTCAAAGAAATAGAATTTAGAAATAATTTGGCAGGATTCTTGGGAGGTTTTTAAGTTGTCATAGTTAATACTTAGTCGGGAATTCGCAAAAGGGTTACGGAGCACTTTCGGTTCCTACCTGGATTCTGTAAGGGAGTTTAGGCATTGAATATATAACACTGAGAGTGTTATATATTCAATGGTTTAGGTGCCTACCTAGATTCTGCGAGGGAGTTTCGGTGCCTACCAGGGTTCTGCGAGGGAGTTTCGGTGCCTACCAGGGTTCTGCGAGGGAGTTTTGGTGCCTACCAGGGTTTTGTGGGGGAGTTTCGATGCCTATCAGGGTTCTGTGAAGGAGTTTTGGTTTCTAACTGGATTCTGTGAGGGATTTTCGGTGCCTACTTGGATTTAGTGAGGATGTTTCGTTGCCTACCTGGATTCTGTGAGGGAGTTTTGTTGTCTACCTTGGTTTTTCGATAGGGTTTCGGTGCCTACCTGGATTTAGTGAGGATGTTTCGTTGCCTACCTGGATTCTGTGAGGGAGTTTCGGTGCCTACCTGGATTCTGTGAGGGAGTTTCGGTGCCTACCTGGGTTTTGCGAGAGGGTTTCGGTGCGTCCATTGCGATTGATGAAGCAAGCGACAGATATACAGCTATATTTAACTGACGCGTATTGAAAAATTATCACTAGCCCTTTTAAAAAGTTAAAAGGTAAACCTAAGCTAAAGAAAATGTATAATTTAAGTATTTAAAAATTCAAACCATTAATCTTGTTATTTACACGATAATCTGATGGATAAATCCAAACATAATATGAAACTTATAATTGAATCGATTATTGCAGAAGCCCCATAACCATTTTTTTTCGATTTAGATTTTTTAGTATAGTAATGATGCACACATTTAATACAATTACTTAAGTGCAGAAATAACACAACTGCGAAAAAAAGTTGGTTATGGGGTTTCTGCAAATGTAGGACACAACTTCATTTTAATGCATACATTTTTTAAAGAACATATAATTATACACATTTTTAATGTATGTTTTTTATCTATGTTTTTGTGCTTATGGTTCATCTATTTCAAACTAATTACAGAGACTACAAATTACGTCAATCGAAGGTTGTTTTTCATTCCCAACGAGACAGCCCAAGCTATTAGTTCCTCTGTCAACAATGGGTTACGTGCTTCAACTGTTTCTAGTTTGTTTTCTTGGAACAGTCAGCTGTCTTCCTCATCATGGTAAGTCGATATGTTTTCAACTCTTTGGAATAGTTTTTAATCGAATAATATGACCGTTTCTTGCATTTTTGTGTGTACAAATTATGTACATCATAGTTTAAATTGCGACAACAACGGTTCTATTATTTTGCGGCATGTTTAAGTCAATATGGTCTCAAATTATACATTTTCATACACCACAGATAGTTTTAAGGTGTTGATGGCAGTTCTAGCGTTTATATTGACACTATATATGTTGTTAAAAGCCTAGCCTATCATTTAATCTGTAAAATTTGATTAAAAGAGTCAAAAATGTCAAAAAGGTTGAATATACAGAAGAGTGTTTCGTAACTATCTACCAACTTTTTTTTAGGTTTTATTTATGGGTTCATAACAAATTTAAATTTAACATTTAAATGGTCCGTAAATCATTGGTTACTCGAAGAGCCACCATTTTGTACGTTTCAAAACTTGCGGTTTTTGAATAACCATGATACTTGCGTGAATCTTAATAACACTAAATATTAGTTTTACTAACCTAAAAAAAAAACCTGAAGACTTTCAAATGCAAAAATTTAAAATTCTAAGTATTATAGTTCTTTGGAAAAAAACAATATAAAAAATACCAAATGGTGGTTTTGTAAATAAATATTTACAGACGATTTAAATGTGATATTTACATCCGTTATGTCACAAAAAATAATACCTTACAAGTTTGGTAGAGAATTGCTAAACATCCTGTAGACTATAAATATTATCAACGTAAATGAGAATGGTTTATGTTTTATTTTGCTTCATTTAACATTTAAATTACAATTTTGTTTAGTAATAATTATTTGCCTAATATGTGTAATACCAAGTTATAAGAGATATTAGATTTATTATGGTAAAATATACTGATTGATGCGATTAAATTAAAAACATAGTCCAATCAGATTATTTCTCAGAGGTGTTTTTTTCATTCTAAATATACATTAGGTTTTAATGCACATGTTCTCAATTTATTATAGTGTTCTCTTTGCTTTAAATAATATCTGCCAATTTTTGTTTTCAATACGAAAGATGTTAAAAGTGTTGTTTTTCTTGCATAATCATACAAGACAATTGTCGTGAGTCCAATGAACAGACAGGACTATGTTCTAATAATCAAAGCCTTTCAGGTGTTGAAAAGGGATGTAAGTTTAATCTGTATATTAAATGTCTTAGGCAAGAGAAAAATCTTTTTTATTTTAGAATCCCCTCCGTGAAAAGCCATAAGATATTTGTTTCAAATTACTCTTAACAAAGTATTTTATAAGGTTCAATTACCTTGAATTCAAGAAGCTTAGTCCTTCGCTTATTTTACAGTGCAAGGTAACTTTTCTCAACGAATTAACATTCAATGGCCGAGAAAATGTGTTTTTACAGTTTAAAGTATCAATTTTAACCTTTATAGATGGAACTGAACAGCTGACATGCTTCCCGAGGGACGACCTCAGTGTGCTCTCCATCAAGGACCTGCCGCTGTTCCTGTGCACTTCTGCTGACAGGTCCTTCGTCCTTGCAGCGTCCTTGCCGAAGGATAAAATCCCCATCAGGATCACCGTGGATCAAGCGACGCTCGCTAAGCTCGACAAGGCCTACGTCGATCGGCCTGAGACTGTTTGATGTTATAAACACTGAAACTTCAACTGCTTCATTCAATAGTTTCAAATAAGTTCAAAACTTCGTTGATATTCAGAGTTTATTTATGAGTCTTTTTATTGTTGAATTTACCATATCATCGACAATTTTTGAGCTGACAATTTAATGTGAAATATAAATGTCTAATTAAAAATTTTCAATTTATATTGCTTTATTTACCATTTATTGACTTTCGAGAACCATACTAGCTCTCTTACTTTGACCATCAATGTTCGGAAAATATTGGACACATTTGAATTACCTACACAGTTAAATGATGGTGGTTCTGAAAGGAACGCCATAAGCTATATTAATTGCCAAGTTAATGCTACTCTTCATCATAACTTAGATGGTTTGATTTTAGTCATAAGTATGAAGGAAAATAAAATGTTATCTTGACTTTAATGCTGCTTTTAAAAACATATAGTACCTACTATTCTCGGAAAAAGTAAAAAAAGGAATACATATAAGGATCATTTCATGAAACCTCATTTTATTAGATAAAAGCCATCTCAATTTTGTGAGAGTAGTTTCTTGGCTCTCTAAAGTTAAATTGTAATAGTGACTTACTAATATCAAATCGTTTAAATGATTTGTGTGACATCGTAATAATGTAAAATTCTAATATTTAATATAATTTGTTGTTGTAAGCCTGTTCACTTATGAGGGCTACTCAGTAATCAAATAACTAATAATTAAAATAACATAAGTACCTTTTTTTATATAATTTATTTCCAAAATCACTTAAAAACCTTTACACAAGACTTGCCTGACAAGATTTTGGTACTTATGTTTCATATGTGTTTTGTATCCGATTGGAGGGTGTGGGTTTCATACAGTAACACGAGGTAAAAAGGGTAACCATACTACAGAACATTGAAAAGACGATTCTTAAAAGATTGTAAATAGATTTTAAAAAACATTTAATAACATTGAAATAAATGTGTTATTGAAATATTGAAACCAAACAGATATTCTAAAAATACTGAGGACAAAAAAAATTACCTAAATATTAACAATCCAAGTTAATCGATGTGACATTTATTCCAATAACACTACAATGATGTAAGACCACAAAGTTGTTATGGAAAAATACAAGAAGATCACTTAAAGATTAGTTGACTTGGCCATACAATATTGCATTTCTATTACATATTTCATCAACAATTTATACTCTTTTCTTTAAAGCTAACGATTTTTAAAAGACTTCATTTACTTCCATTAAAACATTTCAATACAAGCACTGGAAAGCTACAGATACTTCAAAATCATACAACTGACAAATCAACCATAATACCCTCCAGCTCCACCAAAACTGGAAGCACTAGCTTGTGAAAATCCACCTCCAAATCCACTACCCCAGCCAGGGTGGCCACCATATCCGGAAGATCCCGAATTGGCAGATGCAGAAGAACCGGCAAATCCCGCTCCCCCTCCCCCTCCGCCACCACCGGCTCCTACACCGCCACTAAACGAGCCTGCTGATGCCGTGCTTCCAGATCCTCCGAAACCAGTACCTCCAGGTCTGTATCCAGCACCTCCTGGTCTGTATCCAGCACCTCCAGGTCTGTAACCCCCACCTCCTCCTGCACCTCCACTGACAGATCCTGCATTTGCTGATGCTCCTGATCCTCCAAATCCTGCTCCTCCTCCACCAACTCCTCCACCTGCTCCGCCACTGAATGATCCTGCGTTTGCTGATGATCCTGATCCTCCAAATCCTGCCCCTCCTCCACCAACTCCTCCACCTGCTCCACCGCTGACAGATCCTGCATTTGCTGAAGCTCCTGATCCTCCAAATCCTGCCCCTCCTCCTCCAACCCCACCGCCTGCTCCTCCACTGACAGATCCAGCATTAGCTGATGATCCTGATCCTCCGAACCCTGCCCCTCCTCCTCCAACTCCACCACCTGCTCCACCACTGACAGATCCTGCGTTGGCTGAAGCTCCTGATCCTCCAAATCCGGCCCCTCCTCCTCCAACTCCACCACCTGCTCCTCCACTGACAGATCCTGCGTTGGCTGAAGCTCCTGATCCTCCAAATCCTGCCCCTCCTCCTCCAACTCCACCGCCTGCTCCTCCACTGACAGAACCTGCATTAGCTGATGATCCTGATCCTCCGAATCCTGCCCCTCCTCCTCCAACTCCACCACCCGCTCCACCACTGACAGATCCTGCGTTGGCTGAAGCTCCTGATCCTCCAAATCCTGCTCCCCCTCCTCCAACTCCTCCACCTGCTCCACCGCTGACAGATCCTGCATTTGCTGAAGCTCCTGATCCTCCAAATCCTGCTCCACCACCGCCTACTCCACCACCTGCTCCGCCACTAACAGATTCTACGTTGGCTGATGCTCCTGATCCTCCGAATCCTCCACCATACCACCATGGAAATCCTCCCCCGCCTCCTCCAGCTCCAACAGAGCCAGACCCGGCGCTGGCTGTTGATCCTGCAGCCCCTCCACCTGCGCCACCAGCTCCTCCACCTACTGCCCCGGCTCCGGCAGTCGCTGATGCAGTGGATCCTGAGCCTCCGGCCCCGCCATATCCAGGCCAACCACCGCCGAAGCCACCTCCGAAGTTAGCCGAAAGGCTGAAGGAGTTGCTTGCCCCGAATCCGAATCCTGGACCTAAAATCATTTTATTTTATTAAATTTGTGTCGGCATGAAATTACAATGAATAATCTGTACAAGTTATTCAGAACACCTTACATTACAGGACTATTGGAGTGTTATTGGTTTGTATAAAAAGCACTGTCTTTTTTAGATACTATGTCATAGACATAATGTTAATCTAGATATTCGGCCATAGAAATAGTATATGATCAGAATTTACAATGAAAAATATCTGAACATATAGGAAGGTTTCAACATTTTTTCTTAAACAAAACTCAAATATTCTTGGATCCAAGACACAATATGCCAACAAAAAATTAAGTAGTTCATACATTTCAGCAATTAGGCGTTCTAGTGCTAAATCGTGTTACATTAAACGTCCCTGGAATAAATATTATCAACATTTTCAATATCGCACTTAAGGTGTCTATAGGTAGTCCTGGAACTCTTTGGAACCATTTTGTATATTTATTCCCGAGGTCAAAAAATGCAAAAAACACCATATAAATATGGGTCCAAAAACGCCTGGTTTTCTGTCTGCGTGCCTGTATGTTATTTTCCCAAATGAATCCATAGCTTTCAAACTCCTCTAACAACTGACTTGAAACTTGGTACGTAAGTAGATGGCAGGTCAGTATAATCATTGCACAATGAATCGGATTTATAAACTGTAATGGAAGAAAATTATTATTATTATTATTATTGTTATTATTTTTTATTATGCCACACAGTTTATTGCACGAGTAATTTATATTTAAATAATCATTTATAAAATGTAGCTTCGTCTCTATAATACATGTAAGTAAGTATGTAACTGTTTTTTTACAGTAGATTTTTAGACCACATTAATCTCCCCTGTATTTTCAACACACTGAGAAGCAAATAATTCAAAATAGACAAAGGCAAAGCCTGGGGCCAAAGTATTTTACAGGTCTTCATTTATTTTTAAACAGTTTTCCCATTGCTAGTGCAGTCTCCATTTTACTTTTTTTTATTGCCTACATTTCTTGGTGGCCTAAACTCTTTCTCCACACCCAAGAGGAGTATGCCTATTGTAATTGAAATATGTCAGTCTTTAATAACAACTAAAAAATCGAAAGAAATAGAAAGAATTTACCAATAACTATTAATTAAGGGTAGTCTAGACATGATCTGGGCTCTACGCATTAGGTAAAAAGTTGGTAAGAGATATATAACTCATACATAAAAATACTTTACTATAGTATAATTTTTTTTAAGAAGAATGATATTTTGAAAACTAAGCTTTTCACTGTTAACGTGAAGAAGAGGAAAGGACACGTTTGTCATAACCCTTCAAAATGTTTTGCAAAATTTTAAAATCAATAACAGATGATTTATTATCATGCACTTGCAAACGAACATCATTGAACATTTGCTGTCTATATAATTATGATATGTTGTAGAAGACTTTAAATCAATTGTATTTTCACATAGATAGCAATTTCAGCCCTTAATTCGCTCAGCATTTATGAACACTTCCCCTTATTTATGGTGAAATTCCCTCGCTGTTCACGGTGCTACTTTAAGTCAATACTATTTAGGTAGAAATAATATGACATTTTGCAGGGGTTTATGAAACCCCTTAGGCTGTGTACTTGTTTACTTAAAAATATACATTGTATTTCAAAAGAACTATGTTTTAGCTTGTAATCCTCCTTAGGTGCAAGCAAAATCTTCTACAGTTAATTTCCATTACCATAAAAATACACTATGTACAATAGAAAAGCTTACCATCATCCTCGAAGGACGCGGCAACGAGGGACAAAACTGGCCACAACCAATAGACGAACATGACGCTAGCAGGTGATTGTACTGGGCAGACACACTCGCAGGACTAGAATGCTGAGTTAATGACACTGATATCACATCAACCTGTGGTGAATCACACAGCTACACGGAACAGGAACAGGATCTAGGTAAAAATATCTGGACAACTTTTAGGGATGTACACGATGGTGAAACCAACTTTTGCCCAGCGTCCAGCAAGCGAGCTTGTTTACGCGGACTGTTCGTTAATCTTTTGGCCGCTTCAAGCAAAACAAGCGATTAGTGATGACTTAGTAAACTACTTCTACAAAAGGTTTCTTGAAAGGTTTGACACGTCCAATCTACAAATAATCATTTTCTTGTAATTAAGTCAGAGTTACTGTGATGTATTTCATATTTGCTTCCAAAATATAATGGAGTGTACGATCTAAATTATCAATTTAAGTTTTGGTTACAAAACACCAAGAGCTCTTACGCTCGGGAGGTGGATCATAAATACACAAATTTATGATTACGTTGAATGTGTAGCAAGAATCCACCATTTAGTATTTTGTGTTTACATTTCATATCTTAAAAACTATTTCATATTATATCTTCATCAAGTTTGGTATAAAATTCAATCTAGTCAATAACTATTTAATACAATCATAATTTGATTTTATTTATTTCAAAATTGTGGTATTTTAAATTGTTATTACTAAAAACTGTTACAAAAAGTGACTGTATTTATGAAAAAATGCCAAGAACACTTATATTTAGCACATTGAATTCCTTATCAAAAAACACGAACTATAAAAACATGGAATTGTAAATAACGAAGAAATACAGATTTTTAGTTGTACAGGCCAGGTAAAAAAAAAACCAATTAGCCAGGATTTGCCTCATTTTCGCCTATAAATTGTGATTTCCCAGCTATTTATTATTTGATATTTTTGAACTTGGTATTGTTTAATAGTAACTTTTATTTTATAGGGATTTTTTCAAGGTACAAGCGTATCTTGCGTTCTAGGACAACAAGAAAAAAAGACAAATAGAACAAGGGAATTTAGATACAAAATAACATGTAACAGGTACTTGATTTTTTTAAATATCGGTCATTTTTTAGTATTCAAGCTATAAAAATTCAAATGGCCACCATTTAGAAAAAAAAATAGTTTATTGATTATTTTTTATAGATTATGAATGTATACAAAATGACATAAAGATATCTTAAATATTTGTTAGATATGATTTGAAAACACAAAAAAATGCTGGGTATTTTGCTAGCAAAAAAGGTTTTGGATAAAATACTATTCTTGGTTTTTGTTTTATTTTGACCCGGAACACTTTAAATTTGTTTGCCTACTTAAGGATCACTCTGTATATTCTTTGGACCTTATGGCATGTTGTGCAAACAACACTAAACAGTTTCTAAATAATAATAAATAGTTTCAGTATTATTTTTATCTTAAGGGGTGTTACCATTGGATGTTAGCCTTCAACTTTCGATAACAAAAGGGAAATGATGAGTAGTAAACGAACGAATAGTTCGTTAAAACAACACATACCAATCTATCATCTATTTTATCATACTCTCGTGTGCCACAAAACCACTAATCAACCAAATATTTGACTTGAGATCTTGAAATTACCATAACATTGTATTACAATAAATGTATGAAGTTGGGAAAATAACTGCAGCATATTCGGAATGAACACTTTATTTCTAAATGCATTCTAATGTTTATAGTAGAAAATAGGCTCATCCAACTATACAACAAATGTCTAATATTCATCTTTTAACAAAATATATGCGTACAAGTTTATCTGTAGTTGTTATTTGGAGTAATTATACACCTCTAAAAAGATGATAGATTTTTTATCCGTAATATGCTCCACCCCTGACAGGGACAGTTTGCCGGTAACCTCCTCGAGATCCACTGCATGGGCATGCACAGACAGGCTGTCCTCCCACTACGGTAAGAGTTCCAGTGTTAGCACCTCCGTACCCTGTGCCAGCTCCAGTTGATCCTCCAGAACCACCATAGACACCACTTACAGATCCTGAGCCTGCATATCCTGCACTACCTCCGTATCCACTACCTACAGAACCAGTGTGTCCTGCGCTTCCTCCATGTCCACTGGCTACTCCTCCACTTACAGATCCACTAGTCGCTGTTGAACCACCATATCCGGAGCTTCCTCCATATCCACCAGATCCTCCTCCACTTCCAGATCCACTAGTCGCCGTCGACCCTGAACCACCATATCCAGAGCTTCCTCCATATCCACCGGATCCTCCTCCACTTCCAGAACCACTAGTCGCTGTAGAACCTGACCCACCATATCCAGCGCTTCCTCCATAACCACCGGATACTCCTCCACTTCCAGATCCACTAGTCGCTGTTGAACCTGAACCACCATATCCTGCATTTCCTCCATATCCACCTGCTACTCCTCCGCTTCCAGATCCACTAGTCGTTGTTGAACCTGAACCTCCATTTCCAGCGCTTCCTCCATATCCACCCGCCACTCCTCCGCTTCCAGATCCACTAGTCGTTGTTGAACCTGAACCACCATATCCAGCGCTTCCTCCATATCCACCCGCCACTCCTCCACTTCCAGATCCACTAGTCGTTGTTGAACCTGAACCTCCATTTCCAGCGCTTCCTCCATATCCACCCGCCACTCCTCCGCTTCCAGATCCACTAGTCGTTGTTGAACCTGAACCACCATATCCAGCGCTTCCTCCATATCCACCCGCCACTCCTCCACTTCCAGATCCACTAGTCGCTGTTGAACCTGAACCACCATATCCAGCGCTTCCTCCATATCCACCCGCCACTCCTCCACTTCCAGATCCACTAGTCGCTGAGGCACCCGAACCTCCATATCCTGCGCTTCCTCCATATCCACCGGCTACTCCTCCACTTACGGATCCACCAATCGTTGTTGAACCTAAACCTCCATATCCTGCATTTGCTCCATATCCACCCGCCACTCCTCCACTTCCAGATCCAATAGTCGCTGAGGCACCCGAACCTCCATATCCTGCGCTTCCTCCATATCCACCCGCCACTCCTCCGCTTCCAGATCCACTAGTCGTTGTTGAACCTGAACCTCCATATCCAGCGCTTCCTCCATATCCACCCGCCACTCCTCCGCTTCCAGATCCACTAGTCGCTGTTGAACCTGAACCACCATACCCAGCGCTTCCTCCATATCCACCAGCCACTCCTCCACTTCCAGATCCACTAGTTGCTGTTGAACCTGAACCACCATATCCAGCGCTTCCTCCATATCCACCCGCCACTCCTCCGCTTCCAGATCCACTAGTCGCTGTTGAACCTGAACCACCATAACCAGCGCTTCCTCCATATCCACCCGCCACTCCTCCACTTCCAGATCCACTAGTCGCTGTTGAACCTGAACCACCATATCCAGCACCACCTCCATATCCACCTGCTACTCCACCACTTCCAGAACCACTGCTGGCTGTTGATCCTGAACCACTATAACCTGCGCTACCTCCATATCCGCCGGATACTCCTCCACTTCCAGAACCACTAGTCGCTGTTGAACCTGAAACACTATATCCAGCGCTTCCTCCATATCCACCGGCTACTCCTCCACTTCCAGATCCACTAGTTGCTGTTGAACCTGAACCCCAATATGAAGCGCTTCCTCCATATCCACCCGCTACTCCTCCACTACCAGGTCTACTAGTCGCTGTGGAACCTGAACCACCATATCCAGCACCACCTCCATATCCACCTGCTACTCCACCACTTCCAGAACCACTGCTGGCTGTTGATCCTGAACCACTATAACCTGCGCTACCTCCATATCCGCCGGATACTCCTCCACTTCCAGAACCACTAGTCGCTGTGGCTCCTGAGCCACCATATCCTGTGCTACCTCCATATCCACCGGCTACTCCTCCACTTCCTCCATATCCACCGGCTACTCCACCACTTCCAGTAGATGCCGATCCTCCACTTCCAGGTCTTTTGTTTGCACCATTTGCAGAGCCAGCCGTGGCTGATGATCCTGCGCCGCTAGGTCTATATCCTCCACTACTGATGGATCCGGATGCTGAAATCCCTGCTCCTCCGATTCCAGCCCCAAGCCCTCCTCCAACGTAGAATCCTGGTCTTTTAGAACCACTGCCACTACCGATTCCTACGTTTGCCGTGAGACTTAGTTTCTTCTTGCTATCCAACTTGTACGGTGAATATACCTGCCCAGGGGCCGCATAGTACTGTCCACCTGCAACAGTGAATTTTAGAATAAACACATACATTTAGTGCAATGTAATTTTTTGTATATCTAAAGAAAATAAATTGAAACTAGAGGGCCCTCCACCACGTTGAAATGTGTTTTTGATTAAATAATACAGTATAAACTTAACTGATTCAAAACTATCAATATATCTAATAATATATTTATACTGTAGGAGTATTTTAAGACCAAGACTTATACGGGTGACACAAAGGAACCGGACGTTTTTTAGATAAGTAGTACACAGTAGTTAAATGGAATAAAATGGTTTTAATACTGTACATAGTGAGGTATACATTTGCCATTTGTTACAAAACAGTCATTTTTTGAAAATGACGTCATGCATATTGCGGCCATGTACTTATCTACAAATGTTCATTCTGATCTGAAAATCATCTGAAACTCGGGTCAGGAGGTCTTGTTCAATGCCATTGATATATTCTGTGATTGCCAACTTCAAATCCTCTAGGGTGCGTGGTTTGTGAGCATGAACACGCTCCTTAAGAAACCCCCAAAGAAAGTAATCACTAGTGGACAAGCCAGGTGATCTCGGCGGCCACGGTATGTCACCAAAGCGAGAAATCACCTTGTTAGGAAACACTAATTCAATACTGCTCTCACTCTGGCGATGTTTTCGGGTGTTCTCGAAGTTCTAACAAGGCCTGGTGGTTTTTTCATGTTATATTCCCAGTTTTTCGGAATCCTGAAACCCATCTTAATAGCGTATTTCGGCTTGGAACCGTTCCATGGCGTTCAATATAAAAATTTCGACTGAATTCCCGCTGGATTTGACGACGGATTCACCATTTTGCACAAAAGTATCGTATGCGAAAACACGATGGTCTAGGATCCACAGAGCCATTTCAACAAAAATGGCAAGCCTCACTGAAGGTAATGACATAACTTCAATCTTCCTACTGCGTGCGGCAACAATGGAACAGCTGTTTAAAAAACGTCCGGTTCCTTTGTGTCACCCTATACAATAACTAAAACAATAAACGGTATCAACAATCTGACACATATTTTCTCCCATTAGCTTGTCAACAACCTTTAACATGGGGTGGTGGGAGTAAGCTACCTATGATATTTCATAGGGAAAATCCATAGGTTGTAATAACTTTCGAACCGTAAATTTGTACAGGGGTTGCACTCTTTTGATTAGTATTATAATGACAGTAACATGCTAATTTTAATCAAAACTGGCTTTTTTAATTGATTTTTCGTTACTTATAGCGAATTACCCATATAGGGAATAAGCTATTTAGGTTTTTAAAAGGGAAAAACACATAAGTTACAATAACCTTCTAGCCGTAATTTGTACAGCAATGGGATTCGTAACATTTTGTTCAGAATATAAAGGACTGTAACATACAAAAATGTTATCAAGCTAGTTAGGGGTTTGTTTTTCCAGACGATTTAATTTTTCTGTTATTTTTTTGGTTATTATCATTGACTATAATGTCAATCAACATAATGTAATTAACACTATATAATGTCAATGGTATTATGGAAAAATCACCATTAAAAATCAAATTTCAACAAAATTTTAAATTGCCTGGAGATACCATTGCTTAGTACCTACATACCGAATTTTATCAAAATCGGACTACAGGTGTGGTCTGTAGCTCTGTACACATCCACACACACAGATTGACATCACTTCTACAACCACATTTTGACCAAATTTTGAAAAAAAAACAATACTTTCCCCATATACTATTGTATAGGGGAAGAGAGTAAAAATGGAGTTACGTATTATTGATTGCAGATAGGTCATAAAATAATTATAATTATTGTTTATTCGTGATTCAGAAGCGTGCTTCAGGTACTTCCGATCTTAAAAATCAACAGCTCAAAGGAAAGCTGGCATTTCACTGGAGGTTCTTAGACCAAAACATGTAGGATAATGTAATTAGAACTGATGAAATAGATCTTTAATTGAACAAAAAATTCAGAAAAATCTAATTTATGTTTACTGGCTGAGGAAAACAGCAGATAAATCAATGATGATGCTTGATGGAAAATCATTACGTTCATACCCTTAATTTAAGCCCAAAATGATGAAAATCGTCGGATAGAAAGAGCCGGACTATTATATAAAGTTTATGGGTGCCTGTCTGGGTGTGTGTTACTCAATCACGTAAAAACGACTAAACCAAAAGGGCTTAAACTTTGTAAAAATATAACTACTATATCAAGAAACATGTTGACTATTCACGCTTCGATACTGGCCGAAGGCTTTTCCCTTTTGGCTTTGAACATTCTCAGGTGGGGCTTTTGAAAGTTAATATTGATTGGTCTCCATGGCTGCAATGAGAAAACTCCCCATGTTTACATTCGCTATGACATAGCAATGTAAACCAGCAGAATAATTAATTGTCAGATTGATATGATTTTCCAATGGCACTCCAGGTGGCATAATCAGATACCAGTAGTTAATTGGTTTTAACCGTTAAAACAATAACGTCAAAAGAAATTTTGAAATTAACAAAAAACATATTTATTTCATACCATAGATATTTGATCGAAATAATAACAACTCTGTAATGTAAAAGTATGCAACTAAACAAAGATAAGATACACTTGCTTGCTTAAGTTTAAGTGCTACTCTCTAATTTGTCTCCCCTCCAGTCAATAACGGCAGAAAAAATATAATAAAACAAAATCATATTAGTTTTAAAATATTCTGTGACATCGATTTTCCGCTTTTCCACTACTACTTCTAGAATTTAGATTCTGTCTGCTTTTTCATTGGGATTTAGTATACGGGAACAGTTTTATGTAAATTAAAACCCCCAGATGTAATTAGTTTACTTGGAATGCCTCAGTACTTCGGGGATTAAGTTTTGGGGGAGAGGGCTGAGTAAAATAATCAGTATTTGATCGAAACTATTTTCCCCTATATCGAGTAATCTTCAGTGTAATCTTTGCTCAATAGTTACAACAGATTTTTCCCTTTTGTACTATATATTTTAATTTGCTAGTATACTGTGGATGGCTTGTTATAAAAACTTGTTACACGTCTTTTGTTTACTTGTTATTTGTTATTTTGCCGACATAGTTACTTGGCAACCCATAAGGCCAATGCAGTTTTTTTTTTCAAATGAGTTGTGTAACGAAATATGAATTTTCCCGAGGTAGTGGCTGTAACCAATTAGGTTTTTAGGGCTATAAGTCCCCAATTCAAAAGTGTAGTCAAAATCCTTCCGCTATATTCTGAGATTTACAGTATATTACAGATAGACAGACAGACAGACATAGCTCGTATCAGAGTATAGGATAGAATATAAAAAGATATAGCATTCAGCAAAACCATGAGGCAAGCTTTCTTATTTTAGGATGGACACTGGTCCCCGCATAAGGATTATTAAAATAAAAAATATAATAAAATACTATCAGGTATTAAACAGTATTATTTTTTCAACTACGTGAATACAATGTACAAATTCATATTATGAATCATAATATATGTAAACATAAATGAATCATACATACATTAAACATGTTCAAGCAATTGCAGTGTGATAATAAGCATAACCAATACTCACTGTCTGCCAGTACGGTGGATGACAGATACAGGGTGATCCCCAAGTAGGCAAGCATGGCGTGGAGGGCGATTGTTGAACTGTGGTGAGTCGTTTGAACAGGTTAATGTAGGTAAATTGTTAATGACAATGATAACATAAACAATCAAACTGACATCAAACACTGCGATACTCATCTAAACAACCGTTGTATTGGTTGAACGCCCAGGAAAACCTCGGGATTAACAAGCTGCATCACTCGGGTTATATTTGGGTACAAATTGCTTCAGTAAATAATGGGGATAGTTTATCATTATAAGCATTTGAGATGGAGACGCCACCTAGGTGTGTATTGTAACCAAAATTTGAGTGAAATATTAGTGTAGAATGAAGTGTAATATCTTGTGTAGCTTTGATACTGACTATGGCCTTATGTTTCGTTAATCGGACCATTTATTAAAAGTCCGATGATCAAGGACAGCTGCGTCCAGTTTTGAACCAACAAAAAGCTACACACTTTTCTCAGGATCGAACTGGCGACCTTTTGATTACCTAGTATAATATTGTTCAGAATCTAGTTTATTTGGGATTAAAAAAAATACTTGACTGCTCTATTCTCGTAATTTTGAATTGTCAGTTCAAAAGATAATGATTTTACGCGAAACAAGTTACAACAATGGCACCAAATATTTAATCCTACATCATGTGATAGTGAAAACGATTTTGAATTACATAAAATAACCTGGAACTAATTTATAAAAGTGCACACTGGACGTAACCAAAGCTTTACAATTATTGTGTTGATCCACAGAGAGAGTTGATCAACAGAGTCTATTTTTTCAGACCTCAATTTACAGAAAATTCAATTCAATAGTGTATATTGATGAGGCTGAGGCATCTTTATTTTAACATCCCGTCGGAATTCAAACTTCGGACGAATACATTGATACAGTTTTCTATCGATATGTTTTGTCTAGATTGTAGAACATTCCCTATAAGCAACATATAAAGTAATATAGATGACCGGCAGTTGTGAGTTCGTTCACCGACTGTATGCATGACTGCGTGGTCGCCATTAGGATTCCCCTGGCGTTGGCTGCATTCTCTCTTCAGCAGTCTCTCTGTCACTCTGTCACTTGTCACTCGATGACGTGATGGTCGCCTCACTCATCCTTTCACTCACTTTGTAAGTCAAATAGTAACTCACTATACAAGTGAGTAAACATTTGATTACTAATTTTAAGGACTAACTGTGGTCAGATTGTTAAGTGAGACTACAAAATCGGTTCTCTGCACATAATATGTTTATTTTATATGTTAATGTTTTTTGCGTCGTAGAACATTATGTCATTTAAATGGTTGATTTGTGTTGGTTCAAAAATTGATTCTTTAGGACACACAAGTACCTTTTGGCCATAGACTTGCATATTCTTAATTCGGAATGAACTTTTCATTGATATGTTGGTGATGACAATATAAGCTGCAGGTTATTGTCTAGATATGTTAAAAGTAGGTGTACTGTATGGGAACGCTGTCCATATACCTAACACGGTTATAAAATTATAAATAAAATTAAGAAAAGAAATAGTTGGTTAATTTCAGACTTTGATACCATATCAAGCCTCTAGGAATAAAATTTTACTAAAAGAAACTGTGACATCTAAAAGAAATAGGTTGACAGAAGATAAATTCTATAAACCATGTACATGGTCACATTTACACATGTAAGTGTGTTGTTTAAAATTATGTTGTTATTTAATTAGCAAGAACGAAGCACAGTTATAAAAATAGAATCAATTACTGCTGGAAAGAAATGAACTAATGTTCATCGACTGGTAGTAAACCATGAACTGATCGTTTATCCGTATTCACGTTGATTCGTATGCATTGGCAGTCAATTTGTTGTATTTTCTCTCTACAGAGTTTGTTCTCCCCATTGATATCCGTCCCCCATTACTCCAGGACCTGAAGACTAGACACATCCTGTTGCCCAAGTGTCTGAACACTCAAGGCCGGATGATGCCTGATTGTTTATTTGCCGCTGGAAGATTCAGACCGCGAGGTCGGGTTTGTTCCGTTATGCTGTAAATATAACTGCATGACTTCCCTTCCGGGTGTTACTTGAAGATGCAGAATAAAATAAACGAGTATTATAAGATTTTGGTTCGTTTGTCATTCATCGAGATTTCCATCATGATTTCCTATTTTTTCTTCTTTGGAAGATTGAACAATCCTTGTACACATAGGTAGCTTGACAATCATTTGTAGTAAAGCCTGAATAGTTGTAACAAGTTTTAAGTGTGTTAATGAAAGAAATAAACAATGGTTTACATTGATTCCGGACGTCAACCAAACAAATTAATTCGTAAAGCAGAGAAGGATCTGGAAGTTCCAGTTTCGAAAATGGTTGAGGAATTATCTGGTTTCAGTCTATACATAACACTATTTCAGGGCGGTCTGGTTTAAAAGTCTATAGTCACTATTTCCTAGGAAAATGTGATGTACGGAACTATGTCGAGTACGAGACTATGGTGATACACGTATACAGTAAAAATTAGACTACTACATCAAATTCAGTCAATATAGTAAAGTGTTGTCATTGAATAATTTCAATTTGTAATCACATGTAACAAACTTGTAAATAAGAACTCTATTGGGCTCGATCTTTCTCGCTCACGAAATACACATTTACGCTTAAAACAATGTTTAAGTATATTTAGAGTATAACTTTGCTTTATACTATACCCATTATTGGCTTTTCATTTTGAAACTACGATTCAATAATCAGCTTGAACATTAGTTATACAATTACTGGGTAGCTTAATGGTTACAGTGCTCACCTAAACAATCAAAAAGGTAAAACTGGAGCAATCTTTGCTCTCTTTGATTATTAGGCTTTTAATAAATTTCGCTACCTAAATAAATAGCTTCTTGTATGTTTACGCGTAAGATTAACCTTGACTAAGAGAGAGAGAGAGAGAGAGAGAGAGAGAGAGAGAGAGAGGAGTGTGAGAGAGATGACGAGAGGCAAGGCCGCTCCGCAGTCTTCACTACCGTTCGTTGAACTCTCCTGCAAGAGATGAAGAAAGAGCTTTCTTCTGATGCGACCGCGGACATTGTCCACATTGGAATCCTCTCCAGTCCAACCAGCAACCAGCTTCCCTCATTCATAATCCACCGTGTTGGCAATGACAGTACGTCGACTTGTAGATCCTACAAAGAAAAATTCCTCACTGCCTTGCATTCAAATTTAGCTGAGGAGTTGAACCGGAAATGCATTTTAAGGATTCAAGTTGGATTGGAGGATTTCAGGATGTGTGTTATAGAACTGTGAGCTGTGTTATAGCTTGAGTAAGGGGGGTAAACTATCACGTAGAAATGCAAAGGAATAATTTGGTTAGTGAATAACAACACCTATGATTTTTACCTTAAACAGTCAAAGTGTCTATCTTACCTTAAACAATACGTCATAACAAATATAAATGTATCCATGAAATATTGTACAAGCTACTCATTTCAAGTGTATGAACACGGTTTTGCATGACTATTATTTATCTTCATAAAAAATAGCTCTAGTGTATTTATTTGCCTTTGAATAGCACTAGCTGACGTCGTATCCTATTGTAAACCTGGGTTATGGGGGTTTATGTTGGCTACGCTTAAGTGTGCTGAAGAGCTCTCTTATATTTTTATGGGTAGATGTTATATTCTGCACTTTACTTCTTGTTTATAGTATCGGGGAACAATATAGCTTACAATATTGTTAGTGAGTTAAACTAGCTTTCAAGTTGACCAGGTTATAAAGAAAAACAACCACCAGACTGAACATCGGTAGGTTCTCTAGATAAATCTGACCAAATTATACCTTAAATAATTTGTATATAAGGTAGTATTTTTAAACATTCTTGCCACCAAAACTGATTGTACGAAATAATATAAATAAGTTTACATACCTCAGTCTTAAAATTAGTCTGGGGTTGACTAGTTTCGAGTCAAAGACCCATTATCAAATCCGCATCAAATTGAATTAGTCAATTTGATAATTGCGGGATGCACGAAACTAGTCATCCCTAGACTCTTTTTAAGACTGAAGATGGACTGAGGTATGTAACATATTTATATTATTTCGAATTTTTATTCTAGTACATTAAGTTTGAGGCAATCTATTGAGATTGTTAGTTTTTTTTTATATATTTTCAATCATTCCATATCAAAACAGTTCGAGTTTTTTGCATTACATGACAAAAAGTTAACCCCTTTTCTTTTTACCTACATGCCCCTTTCTCCGGGGTCCAGCGTGCCCCGTGCCCCTGGGAGGGGGGCAGGTATATAGCCTCTCAGTGCCCCTCACAGTCACTTCACCATGGGTCCTCGGCTACTGCTGCTCTACCCGCCTCTTCTCTTCCTATTCATCTTCTTTCTCTCTCCTACTTCTGGTGAGTAACAATGTATTAATAGTCATTAGTAGTAAGTCTCAGAGATGGTTGACAAAATAGTTACACCATGCTTCGTTATTTTTATTATAGATTCTAAATTTGAACTGATGAATACATTAAACTTTTTTAGTAGAAATTAAGTTAAGAGAGAATGGAGGATTTTAAATGCTTGGTTAGTGAATTTTTAAGTCTCTAATGATTAAAAATTATTAAACTCAATTTGTTTAAGTTTGGTATCGGTGACACTTTGGCTGAAACATATTTTAGCGAATTTCCCTGTAGAGGAGTAGCTATCACCTTTGTGACACTAAGACCTACAACCAGGATCCATTTTTTTTCATTTTGTTGTCCCAAAAAGTCAAACTACTCTTTTGAAATGTTCAAAAATTGTTTTTCAAATGTTTACAGTAAGTTGCTTACTGGTAGTTTGAAGAGCGGATTAGAGGTTCACCCCCTGGATATTTTCTCGCCACTGGCAGAACGGGTTTGCCATACAATCAACATCCCCACGTAAAATATGTAGACAACATTTTTCCTTTTATAATCTATGACCAAACAAGTCAATGAATGATAAAACTGGAATTTTATTTCTTACTTAATTGAGAACCTCGTAAACTCAAGTAAATAAGTTTTGCTCTTCATTTCATTTTCTGTAAGCAGTTCACTCGTTGACTTGCTCCTCTTGGATGTTGTATAAGTGTGGTTGGATTGTAGGACTTTATAGATAAACACCTTCGCAGTTTCTACTGTGTCGTGTACAAACTGCCCTAAGTTAATGCAGATGAGGTATTGCGACTATTAGGGAATGCATTGTCAATGGAAATCTTCCTTAGTTGCGTCTTTTAAGCCCGCAGCTCCGGTACGTTATCTATTTAAATTTCGTTTAAATAAATCAGCTTTATTTACAACAACGTATAATAGCATAAATCTATATTCTAAGTAGAAATCATATACGGAGTCATATAACAGGCCGTTAAAAAAAACACCGAAATGTGAGTCATTGTATATTTTTCATGTGTAGTGAATAACAAAGGTTTTAAAATTACCTCATTTATGAAGTATTGTGGAAGTTATTGCGTACCGACAGAAAACACTTTAGAAATAACAAATACGATGATGAGAAAACGCACTAAAATAGCCAGGTTATAAGAACAATACCGCTAGATCACTGTTTGTAAGGAAAATGGAACATTTGATACGGTTTACACTTTTCATTAAATATTTCTTCCTAACTCAAGATGTTGATTTTGATTACTTACCGTTCAGTACCTAATGAGTGAGTTCATAAGATGAGCATCTAATGAGTGATACCGTCACAGTAGTTGACTTATGTTTACGCAGGACTTTGACTTCAGCAAAAGTTTTCGTTGTGAAAGTCAATGATGAACCAGTAGAATTGTGCGTTCAAGGTTGTATTGACTTTATTTGTTGACATGTGGTAAGTGATTTTAACAAACATATAAATCAATGGAATAGTGAGAACAAATCAATATTATTGTACCGAAAACTTGCTTGACGTTTCGTAAATATTTTTGTAAGTCTCTTTTACCAGCAGATTGTGTATGTACCACGAGTAATATTTATTTATGGGAGCTATATCTGCTGTTTCTGAATATCTTTGAATTGTAAAAAGTGTTGGGGGCTTAGATTAGGGGTTAGTAAAGGAAATAACGCCGTTTCGATTGGTTCGGTTTCACAGTTTAGCTAGCACTGCCCTAGTTCGTTGTTGAGGGCTCCGCCTCCCGGGTTTGCACGACTCGACCTCCAGCGTTTTCGTGTACCCTGTATCCAGGCTTCCCGTTGTAGCCGGGTATCTGGACCAGGAGACCGTTACAGGATGTGACCGGGTCGTGGTAACGGGTGCCGCGCGTGATCTGGACCACCGTCACTGCCAACTGCGAAGTGCGAACTGAGGAGTATATTGCAGAAACTACACTGCTCCGAGACTGCCCAGCTCAGACAAACTGCTCAACATTTACAAATCTATACCTCAAACTCTATTTGGGTTTGAATAAGATTAAAATCAAAATTGACAACAGAAAAAGAATCGCTACGAATGAATTTGAGTATACGAAGCTTTAAGATCAATGGACAAGAGGGATGAGGATAAAATACGAAAATTATGGATCAATGAACGGGAGGGTTCTAAATCATTATAGTTTGGATCGATCAACTATAAACTAGACAGACGTTAATCGACACGAAGAGCACACATTAACAAACTAGAGACGTGGATAAGAGACGAACGAGATTATTTAGATCAATACGATCATTTTGGATCCATGAACGAGTGAGATGCGAAGGTTTCAGATCAAACACTTGAAGGATTTGGTTCAATAATTGTTTTTATGCAAACCTTAAATCATTGCCTCTGATAATAGTAAAATACAAAACAAATAGTACAGCATTTGACATTTTTACTTTACCATTGGCAATCTTATTAAGTGTGTCATTTTAGTAAAGTGCGACTCAGCAGAAACACCTATGCTGACGACATTATACCCGTAATAAAAATAACTAGATATAGCTATAATTTTATTTATAACAGTTTGTATCCTATTATAAGTACGACAAACTTCCACACTATGGTACTTTCTCAGTGAAATAAAGAATAGTTCAAGTATACAGTATTAAGCATATTGTTTTTAGAAAAAATCAAAGTGAAAAATATTTTTAAAATCCGAACTGGACCAAATCAGACATTAACGTACGATATTTTTGTGTTGGTGGTCGATAATCTGTTTTGATTCCCCTAAATCTCGTCCATGACTAGTAAACTTATATAAATAAATTCTAATGTTTTTATTAAACATTGAATTTTTACAGAGACATATAACCGTCATTGATACCAAAATGTTTGCCCAGGTTAGTCTAATTATAGTTGGTATAGTTTATCCGACAATTATTTATTATACCCATACTGCTGAGTCGTCAAGGAAGCGATCAGTCGGGGTCGATATCCTGAAGCAGTTCAGTTTCATGGTCTCGCCACGAGGAATAAATGGCAATTTGATTGGTAGCTTGCTTAATGGCTGATACGGTATCTGGAGGAAATGGCCTCTGAGATGGTTTGGCATCCGCAGCGATCCTGCTACGAGGGGGATATTACATTACTGAATTACTAGGGTTTCAGAAGTAATAGTGACTAGTGTACATGTTGCTCGAATTCGAGCAATTGCAAAGTATTACAGGAGTTATTTTAAAACGAATAACAGTCATATTTAACATGAATTTAAAAGAGTCAACTCAAGATTACCGGTGTGTAGCTCAGACTATTTTTATCTTCGTTATTGATAAACCTAAAGCATTCCTGCCGGTTTTCTCCTTCTCAAAATGCCTCGCTGTACAGGCAACACAGGTCATTGATAGAGGGCCAATTGAGAACGAAAAGTCGTTTTGGGGTAGTGTTAGGGCGCATTTGTAACCTAATAGTTGAGATTGTCCAGGGTCAGGTGCTGACTGTGATGAGTTAAGCCTACTCGCCACTGCTCTGTAGCTGCGGTCGTTATCACGATTATGCCTCCTGTCTATGTTTCGTTGTCGTCACGTCGGAGGCATTTAAAAGAAAACAAAACAACAAATAAACAAATTATAGCTACACAAAACAACGATAAATGCACAAATTTAAGTTACAATCATACTAACACGATCCTTCATAGCGACACAAAACAACGATAAATACACAACTTTAAGATACAACCATACTAACACGATCCGTCTTGGGGGTTATGTTTACATAAACTCAAATAGTAAATAAATGTACTCAATGCGTTTCATTGAATTGAAAAATAACAGCAATTAAATTATACAGCTGATCAAAATGTAAACAATTATGTTCTCCATAAGGATTACATGGGAACTTTCAAAGCCACTGGGGCAGAGCCCAAGGGACTTTTTCAAAAATGTAAGGCCAGTTTGCAAATCTACGCGACACGCTCTTTCCAATGAGACGTCAATAGATAAAATCTGTTAAGAAATGGCGGAGGAGTTCAACCGACAAAGTTTCATGTAGCGTATTAATTATATAGATTATAGGTGTCAAATTTAAATACGTTGTTTTGATCATGATTTATAAAATATCCCTAGCGCAGCTAAACCTGCAGACTAAGCGAATTTCGCCTGAATCGATTTCCATGAAATTTTTTTCTTAAAATACAAAAATGAATAAATTGTCTTCCCTATTCGAATTATAATAGGTTTAATTAGTACCTAAGTTTCCTGCTACAGGGAATCTAAAGATTACTTTCAGTGAAATATGTAATATTTTAAGGAGTAACTTTAGTGTAAATCCAATCAGTCAAATATAAATTCGCTTAGTCTGCAGGTTTGCTGCGGCGGGGATATTTTCCACACTTATATAGTTTTTTATTACTAGAATTTCTCTTGTGTCCTATCCCTCTCGTAAATAAATGTAAAGCAAATACTGCAATCATAATGCATGAAGTTAAATATGGCCAAGATCTCGTTATAGAAGACAGAAAACACATGCGTGTATTTGTATTGTTGTTGTATTGTAATTGTATTGTTCCAGAAGCTTTCCCAGTGTCGTCGCCCCGTCAGAGACAGTACCTGCCACCGCTGCCCGGGTACATCCCTGTCTACATACAACACGGCGAGACACCCCCTGATGTAGAGGCTCTGTCAGACCAGAGTCCTACCCAGGACAAGATGGATACTGACGTGGCAGAGGTAGGGTTATATATTTGACCATGTAAAGAACTAGACATCCCATCCCTATAAAGTAGAAGATAGTATAGTGAAAATGGACGTAACTGAATAGATCCACCGACAAAGTGCGTGATGTCAAGTCGGATTACTGCCAAACACGATTTCTGTCAACCACGATTACCTTCAAACAAAATTAATGTCAAACACGATTACTGTCAAACACGATTACCTTCAAACACCATTACTGTCAAATACCATTACTGTCAAACACGATTACTGTCAAACACGATTACCTTCAAACACCATTACTGTCAAATGCCATTACTGTCAAACACGATACTGTCAAACACCATTACTGTCAAACACGATTACTGTCAAACACGATTACTGTCAAACACGATACTGTCAAACACGATTACTGTCAAACACGATTACTGTCAAACACGATTACTGTCAAACACGATTACTGTCAAACACGATTACTGTCAAACACGATTTCTGTCAAACCGCAACCCTGCGTGTTGTATGTACTTGTATTGATCTCAATCCTTGAATGCGTTCTTGATAGTAAATATATTTCATTCGAAACTAATTAACTTTATTTTCTACAGGTTCCAGAGAAGACAGACGGCGAAGACTCCCTGGACGACATTGACAGTCTGCGAGCGCTGAGGGAGAGTGAAGAGTTCATCGTACAACAGCTGACTGACAATGTGAGAGCCAATGAGGTGCGAGGACTTGTGGAGGAGGTACATGGGCCTAGGCCTTAGGCCAACAACTTAGGCCTATACCTCGCCCGAGCCATAGCGTTGGCCTGAAACATTGGAGCGAGTTTCAAACTCCCAGAATTTCCCACCGAAGCCAAAAAGGATTGCCAACTTGTTCAAAGTTTTCACTACGATTTTAAATACTGAGCTTTTTCGCTTGAAATTAATTATTCTAAAAAGGTGTACTATAATTTGTAAACCCTTTTTCATGCTGAGACCCAATGGTTGTGATTATTTATTTAGGATAGCAAAATAAAATAGTTTTAAGTTGTTTCTGATTTCTTTACCTCGGCCTTGATGTTTTACGGCAGTGTTACACTTATAGCTTTTGAAAATTGCTTACAGAGTTATGCGTCACATAGCTTTGAATGAAATTCTTTACTCTTAAATGAAATATATATATATATATATATTATTTCAACAAATTAGTAACAGTACAGTGATCTGTAAAATTTCAGCATACACAATTTTTTTACAAGAGAAAAGAATGCAGATTTGTTTACTTGTTTGAATTACAGTAGTCATAATTCATGTAAATAGGTGTATTGAATTTAGAGTGATTAAAGCACACACTAAAATCTTTGTTTAATCATAGTGTAAATTAGATTTTTTCTTTGGTTTCATTTTAATTTAGTGCAACAAGGTTAATTTGTCAACATATTAGATTAAATGATTTTACGAAACAATATTTAATACATTAGTTGTATGTACTAATTTACAGTCTTGTGTTAAAATGAACAAACTTCAAAGCAAGCACTCGTTTTTGACAACTCCAACAACTGAATGACCCACACGATAGGTAGAAGAAGAAAATAACTCAAATTTGTAGGCGCTAATACACATTTTCCCAGTGTCCTCAATCGTGTATAGCTTAACAAGGTTAAATTGCCACTATTTTAGATAAGCTGGTTTTACCACATCACATCCCATGCATACTGTATGTGCTGATTGAAGTATTGGCCTACTATGAACACCATAACTTTCCGCATGATTCTGCGCTGAGATTTGGCAACTGTCGACTCTTGGCCTTCAGGAGAAAGGCAGTAAGAGGTAGAGGACCCAAATTTGGCCGGCAGGAGCCGCTATCCGAACCTCACGTACCGACTCCCGTTGTAGCGTCGTGCAGGGATTGCCTGGCACTTAGCTTTTTATGACATTTCCCTGACATTGTTGTAGAGTCAAACACTCCTTTTGAAAACTACTTTACGGTTGATTTATTTCAGAAGGAATGTTTTTGAGTATTTGCGAATACTAATTTAGTACATATTTTATATAGTGCAACCACTAAGCCTGATGAAAGAGTTTCAATGAGTATCGTGCGTTATAATGAGTATACGGACACACATCCTTGATGTTTGAGCTTTGAAATTCTATTTCACTATCGAAACATCATTATCAGTGGCACGCATACATTGCAGCTACAATGCAGAGTAACAATGCATTCTGCACCTGCAACAGGGACAATGCGTCGAAAAGTCACCTCACTCATTAACAGTCTTCACAACAATGATGCGTGTGACGCACAATGTGACGCCATTTAGTTCTTCACACGTCGCATTGCTTTATTTTGACAAAAGGGTATTTTCGCTGTATTGGTTTCATTACAATATTGCTACCATCCCTTATAGCGCGTAGATTGAAACATTTCGTTAGCCTTCCAGAAGTGTGGAAAGTAATATCTTTCAATCTTTTACAATTAATAGGTGCTACTGTAACTGCTTTATCTGTGCTTCTCAACGGGAAGAGGACGTGAAAGAGATTAATACAGTTCTTTGGATCTGCTGTACGAAATAGTTAAACAAGTATAGTTCATTTTAGGAACAGAACAGACTGGTAAAATTAGTTTCATTTTATATTCAGGTAAGGGGTTAAAATTTCCTAGGCAACCAGGACGCGAAAGAGATTAATAAGGTTCTTTGGATCTGCTGTACGAAATGGTTAAACAAGTATGGGTCATTTTAGGAACAGAACGGAATGGTAAAATATTATTTTCTTTATAAGATGATGTAAGGAGCTATTTCCTAGGCAACCTAGTATGGTGTACAAGTGGCATCAATGCGTATAAAAATATTGTAACTATGTAGACAATATTATTGTAAACCTACTCTACTTAAAGCCTCTACTTATATTAAAAGGTTCTAGAGTCAAAATATTCTAACTACATAACACGCCTAGTTTTTGCTACAGCAATGTCTGTAGACAGCTGTGTTTTTTTTCTGTTTATATTTATTTGGTTACTAAGAAAATAATGTAAATTTGTGAACTGGAAGGAAATAAAGTTGATACAAAAACTTTATATTTTATTCAACTAATTAACATAAAACTAAAAGTAAATCAGGTAATCCAATATACTTAAAACTAATCCACTGGCACTCTGCTGCACTTGAGGTAAATGTTTACTCGAGTTCCTCAAAAGCAGTAAAGACACTTTGCGCCCGCACACATAATATTTTTCCTACAGTTACTATAAAGCATATAAATTAATTACAGGCGAACTGTTATTGTATGGTTTAATAAATTACCTAATTACAAATCTGAATAAAATTTCACAAACAATAAATCAAAACCTGAATGTCATTTTTTGTTTATTTTTTGTTTTGTAGTGTTTTTGGTAAAACCTCAACAGACATCGGGTTAGAGGTTAGGTTAAGTCTAAAACGTTGAACGACAAAATAAACACTGAACCAGCTGATTGATTTAGTTGTGGTGCCAACAAGCATACAAATATTACGTGCCTAATAAAAGCACACAATTTTTTGTCATTTGGTTTAAATATTGGAGTGCGGGAAAGTATTATAAGTTTGGGATACGAAACACAACACATTTAATTACAACAAATACTTAATGCATACAGATTATCCTGCTTCATTCTTTTGGATTATAAAAAACTCGTTGGTAAAGATATGACGTAAAAATTAGTACATTTCCAGTTTTATTTTTGGATAAAAGCTTTTACGAGTTTGATCAGAATCAAACTGTTTCTAAAACACGTCATGTCTACTCCATCCATCCACGGAGCTGTTTAACAATATGCAGGTTTAAAGTTGAGGTAAGTAAAACATTGGTAATAAAATGAAGAATAAATTAACTTTACAGCATAGCCTACCAATCTTTAAATAAGAAGAATTAGATATAGGGGTTTTTTTGCTGTTTTGTACCGTTTAAATAACACTAATCTATTTTTAATTCTGTGATATTGTTTTTTGTGTGCATATTTTGTGGTTTGCTGGCGTGGATATGTAAAAACTGAAGGTCACATGTATAAAATTATGTGCTGATACTAAACGTCTCCTGAACTCAAAGAAATCCTAAATATTTTCTAGAAACCTGTTTTTGGGTTTGAAATGCATCTTTTTCCTTTTTTCCCTTAGTAGGAGATATTGAATTGATTTGCATTTTTTTTTTGTTGTTCAAAACATGTTCATGTTTTTGTTAGGAAGTAGCTCATGATAACAACTGAATTCAATGATTTTTTAAGTATCGATTATTACGTAGGTTGACTATTGGAAATTCCCAAAATGATTATTGTCACACAAACATTCCCTCACAGGGCCCAAACAAGTGCCATCTCATGACTCATAACACTAATAAGCCTCAATGAAGACCCAGTAATATCTCGCCGGTATTTCCACTACAATCCACACCCTAGGTACAAGTACGGGATCCCGATATAAGGATTCACCCCAATGCATAAAGAGACGCACTCTGCTCTGTTATTGCATCTCGCCGTCTGAAGGGGACGACGCCATTAACGATTGTGTATTTAATGACAATCAATTTCCGCTTGAGTGTTTGCGCGGGAGATCGTATACAGTTTCCCACCCTACGGAGAATAACGTTGTTTAGCCATGGGGATTTTGTTTATTTATGGCGTCCTGTGTATTATTGCGAAGTGTGTATTCCAAGGCATTATACTTGCCCGGGGTGATTGAGTTGGCCATCTGCGAGGGATTTGCGGGGGTGCAGAAAGTGATGTGTAAAGTTTGGAGCCAGGAAAGTCACATGTTGAGGCTTTCAATCCCCCGTCCCCGTAGATTATAGTGTTTTATTGACTACTCAAACCATCAATGAAATCTAGAAATAAGCTCGTTTTAAATCGTTTAGGTTCAATGACATTTGCATGAAAACCTAGATGTATGAGAGCGAATGGTTGCTAAAGAGTTGATATTTTTTAAGAGCAGAGTTTTCAGTGAAAGCAATTTTAACTCAGACTCTTAATTTTAAAAAGTTGTAGTGTTGGTAGTACAAGAAAAACTACAATGCCGTTATATTATTACAGCAAACCATCCATTCTGGGTCCGAAACATGATGACAATAACTCTGTTAAAGGTCCCGTAGTTTAATGTTACTTCCATAAGGTAAATGACTAAAGGAGTACAGTTAGAATAATAGAGCATTATTGTTTGATATTTAGCTTATAACTCATATTTATGTTTACACTGCGTGAATTGCAAGATTATATTTTAACATACGTAGGATTGCTGATAGAGTTTTGTTTTTACGACGAAGATAAATAATTGTAAGAATATAACTAGAAAACAAATATTTTGTCATCACGTTTTTTTACAATAGGTACCGGTAGTTTATGTGCAACTACTAAAGGCATTTCTGGTCCGCCTTAATTTTCGTGTCTGCTATCGGGGCACCAGCAACGTTGTAGGATAGCTGTCGAACCTTTTGCAGGCGTTACACAGCTTTTGACATTGTATCTAAATATCTGTGAATAAATAAAAAATGTATATAAAGCATACTCGATTCTATATTAATGAGTTGAGAAATATTTTTCTAGTTAACGAAATTCTGTAGGCCTACAGACAAAACATACATAACAGACAAAACTAAGCGACTGCGAATTCCCATTTATTTATTTGGATTTTTGCCGGTCTGTGACTTACCGTGCCACCTACGGCAATAGCTCCCTATAGGGAAATGGTAAATTCGCTCAAATGGATTCAGCTGGTATATATGGATTGTCTAAAAGTCGACGATTTAACCATTGACTAAACAACGTATTCTATACATTTTTTGTGAATTATGAAGACATTTGAAAAAGTAGTTAAGGTCTATTTATACTAAATTTGATGAGAGAGCACATATTGTGCTTTTTAAAAATAATTTTTGTATACTAAACTAATAAATTGAACTACATGTTGATTATTTTTAGCAGTTTAGACGCACCTGCATTTTTATCGCCTGCTATTCGCTTAACTGTAGTGTCGTGAGTATCAAGCGTTTGAAGGCGTTACACAGACTCACGTTGTACATTTAATTTAATTGTTACCTTTG